ATATATATATATATATATATATATATATATTGATTTCAGAGAGAAAGGGAGAGGGAGTGAGAAAAACATCAATGATGAGAGGATCACTGATTGGCTGCCTCCTGTAAGCCCCCTACTGGGGATCGAGCCCACACCCCGGGCATGTGCCCTTGACGGGAATCAAACCTGGGACCCTTTCAGTCCCCAGGCCGACGCTCTATCCACTGAGCCAAACCAGCTAGGGCACCAAGGTATAAATTTAACCAAGGATGTAAAAGACTTGTACTTGCAAAATATGACACTGAACAAAGAAACTGAAGATACAAGTGGAAGTATATACTATGTTCATGGACAGGAAGAATTAACATCATTAAAATGTTCCACTACCCAAGCAATCTACAGATTCAAAGCAATTCCTATCAAGACAGCTCTGGCGTATTTCACAGAACTAGAGCAAATATTTCAAAAATGTATGTGGAACCACAAAAGGCCCTGAACAGCCACAGCAACCCTGAGAAAGAAGAAAAAAGTTGGAGGAATCCTGCTCCCTGATCTCACACTATACTGCCAGGCCATGGCCACCAAACCGCCTGGTGCTGGCTCTGATCAGCCACCCACCGCAGCCTCCTCCAGGGTTTTCTGTGGCCCTGACTCAGCGTGTGAGCCGCCGACTCCCCGTGTGCAGGAGTGACGTGTCATGGCTGCCGGGAGGCCTGTGCACAAAGCTCGCTGTGAGTCCTTCCCCTCGGGGTCTGAAGGCGCCGCGCTGGGTCCCCGAGGAGAGGTCCCCAGGATGGGACGCTTTCCTGCCAGGGAGCCTCCCGAGCTGAGGAGAGTCCCAGTCCCTTTCTCTGAGCAGAACCCCTGGGAGTCAGAGGTCGGGTCGGCCCAACTGTTTCCGTGTTATTTTTCCTGAGTGGCCGGCCAGTTCGAAAGCCCTAGTTTTAAAGCCGAGCGCTGTCTCGGCCTCGCCCTGGAGTCCCGTCTGGCTGTAGCCCATCCAGCCTCAGTGCTGCTGCCTGGCTGGTCTCCTGTGACAGCGGACACTGGGCGCATGGGAGCCGCTGCGCCTCTGCTGGGCGTGCAGGGGAGCCCTGGCCCTGCCAGCAGGCGCTGGGGAGGCCGCTGGGCCAGAGACCTCAGTGCCCTGGGTTTCCTCCCGGCTCCTCTGTGCTCCGGGGCCAGCGCTTCTCCCAGACGGGAGCTGGGACGCCGTCTCCCCTGTCAGGACGCCCCCAGCCTCCAGGCACTGGCTGAGCTACCAGCGTGGGCCCCGCTCACTGCTGAGGGTCAGATGTGCTCCCTATTCCTCCCTCAGTCCTCCACCTCTGCACCTGCGAGCTGAGAATGTGGTCCTGAAGCCCGTGCTCCTCTGCGTTTGGGCGCAGCTGGCGTTACCGCCGTCACCGTCACCTTAGCTCCGGGCGGCAAGGACGAGACCAGCCTCCTGAGTGCACCCCTCGGGCCTGGCGGCATAATCGGGCCCAGCATCTGACTTCTGGTGACAACCAGCTGGGGCACCGAGAGCATCGGTAACGCTGTGATCTTACTGGGCAACTCTGTGACCTGCTCCCCATCACCTCCTACAGGAACATCCTCTTTGCTCCTCATTTGCTATGAACCTGACAGATTCTGCTGTAGATGGCAACAGGCAGCTAATGACTCACAACCCGCATATTCCCAAGGGTCTGTACTTTATTGTTTCCTTAAAGCTTTTAAAATAAATTGTTTTTATTGATTCAGAGGAAGAGAGAGGGAGAGAGATAGAAACATCAAAGATGAGAGAATCATGGATCGCTGCCTCCTGCACGCCCCACACTGGGGATCGAGCCTGCAACCCGGGCCTGTGCCCTTGACCAGGAATCGAACCGTGACCTCCTGGTTCACAGGTCAATGCTTAACCACTGAGCCACACCAGCCTGGCTTTTCAGTGCTTTTATGAGTAGTTTAAGCTACAGGCCCAGAATGTGTGGAAGTTTTTGGATTTAGCAGTGAGGCCTCACTGCCGTTCCCAGGTGTCATGCTCACTCATCTCCATGTCCACCAGCTCCGCCCTCTGACCTCTGGGGGAGGGCCGAGGCTCCCAGGAGGCCCAGAGGCGAGAACCAGCTGAGTGTGTCACACCAGCCCCGCCCCACCTCCCGCCCGTGCCGTGCAGTGAACAAAGCCCCAGATCTCCAGCTAAACAGCCCCTATCACCGACGGCCACACTGACGTGCCCTTAGCAAGTCCTCATTCTTAGAAGAAAAAACATGGGACAAGTGCTTTGGAATTTGATGAAATTTAAAAATATGAATGACAGCTGTAAGCATTTTCTATGTATTTAAAACTAAGGTGTTCATTGGAAGAAGGCAAACCGCTTTTAAATTTAAACTACGATTATTTAAAACTGCCAAGCCACCATGGGAGGGCGCCCTCAGACTCACCGGCAGCACCAGGCCCCGCAGCGTGATCTCGCCCGTCATGGCCACATCGGAGCGCACCAGCCGCCCGCTGAACAGCGAGGCCAGGCAGGTCACGATGGTGACCCCTGCCGACGGCCCGTCCTTGGTGACGGCTCCGGCCGGGAAGTGCAGGTGGATGTCTGTGTTGTCGAGAAGATCGAAACTTCCAGAAGCTTACAAAGAAAGAAGGATGTTAATGCAGGAACTTACACCTGTTTTCTTTTTCTCCTAAAAGAGAAAGTCAAAAGTGATAAAAAAAAACCCCAAAACAACAAAACGCTCTGGGGAAAGGACTCCTTCACGATGCTAACGGGCGGTGCCCAAGAGCCGTGTGGCTCTGCCCCCCGTGGGGGGGACGGCACCGCCTGCTCTGCTCCTGGGTCAGGCGTTCGCGGGCGGGCGGCCCTGAAGGGGGATCGAGAACTCCCACGGGCTCCAGGTCAGAGGCCCGGCAGCGAGGCGCGGCTGACCACCCCTCGTCTCCGCTCATCACGACCCCAGAGCCTCCGGCTGCTCTGCAGGCTCGGCTCGCTGTGCCCCCCGCACCCCGCCACTCACCGTTGGTCAGGTGGTACTTCTTGGCGTTGCTGCGGAGCCAGCTGATGGCGAGGTGGGCGGACTCCTTCATGACGTCCCCCAGCTGGCCCGTCAGCGTCAGCTGCCCTTCGCCGTCCATCCGACTGGCCTCCACGAACATGATCTCCCCGCCTAAGGGCGTCCACGCCAGGCCGATGGCCACCCCCGGCTGACTCAGGCGCTCAGACACCTGCGGGGGGGGGGGGGGGCGGGGGGCGGATAGGTGACCAGCGAGTGTGAGGCCACGGACCGCACCTCCAGGGCCGGCGCCCAGGACGGGCGTCACGCTCACAGCCTGTGCGTGGCTTCCTGCCGGGACACGGAGCCTTGTACCTAACAGTGTCTGAGGACGTGGAGCCAGGAGCACATCTCACACTCCCGTCTCCCGGGAACAGCCGGTCTCGGCTGTTGGCCACCTTATCAGCCTGTGTCTGTAACGCCCTGATCCCAGCACTAGCCGCCATGGCTGTTTCAGGAAGCGGGAGCCTCCTCGAACCCACACCGAGGAAGTGGGCCTCCCTGCCAAGTCCCGGCTCCTCCTCTTGGCTGTTACCGCCACAGACCCCGAACTCCAGGCCCCTCCCCGGGCGCTGGGAGGCCTCCCTGCCACTGCAAACCCCACGTGCCACGCCCGAGATCGTGGGCCTCGCTGACCGCCCATTAGGCAAACGTGTCCCAGCTACGAAGCCCAGGTGCAGGGGGGAATCCTGCTGAGCCGGCCCCTCTGGGCCTCGGCATCTCCCACCGACAGAGGCCACCGGTCAGCGCGCTGAGCACCTGCCGCGCCCCCCCCCCCCCCCTCCCGCCCCAGCGCATCGGGAAACAAGGTCGCTTTCTCAGGAGCAGCGGGCTGTGGGCTGAGCTGGGTAGGGGCCGGGCGCTGCCGCTGACTCCTTCCCGGGGCTCAGGGGGTGAAATCCTGATTGTAAACGTGATTCTGGAGAATCACAGGGCAGCACGGAGGCTCCTGGCTCCGCCCCACAGGGAAGAGCGGAGTAAGTGGGGGGGGCGCGGAGGGCATCACCAGCGAGCGCTCACCTCCATCTCGTACATCGGGGGCCCGAGGATGTCCTTGAGGGCGTGGAGGTCGATCAGAATCGGCATCTCGGGCGGGAGGGCCAGGCCGGCGGTGCCACTGTCACCGAGGGGCTGGGGCTCCGTGTCCTCCGCGTGCTCTCTGCCGCCTGCGAGAGGCAGCTGCTCAGAAACCCTGGCGCTCGCAGGCTGGAGGACGGCCCAGTGGACGGCAGAGCCGGCCCCCACGGGCCAGCCCTCGCGCTGACGAGGCTCGGAGTGCACCGAGTGTCCGGGACTCGGCAGAGGGGGGTCTCTCAGGAGCCCCGAGCGGGACATTGTCTGTCTCCCCATTAACGTGTGTGCACGGGGGCAGCCACCCTGCCTGTCTTTTTTTATTATTAAATATATTTTATTGATTTCAGAGAGGAAGGGAGAGGGAGAGAGAGAGAGAAACATCCGTGATGAGAGAGAATCATGGATCGGCTGCCTCCTGCACGCCCCCGACTGGGGATCGAGCCCACAACCTGGGCACGTGCCCTGACCGGGAATCGAACCGTGACCTCCTGGTTCCTAGGTCGATGCTCAGCCACGGAGCCACCCGGCCGGGCTACCTGTCTTTAAACACTACATTCTATATTCTCATGCCAAGAGCAAGGCCTGGCTCTGTTCAACCGCTGGCCTCAGAGCAGGAGAGTCAAATGCAGCAGCTGACCTGGTGCGATTCTTAGTCAACAGGCCCCAGACGGCTCAGGCCCCTTCAGGGGGCCCACCGGGCGTCCCCCCCCCGATAGGAACGTGAACTTGAAAACGACGGAGCGTAAACACAGCTCAGCTCTGAGACGCCTCCCCACCTGCCAGGGCTCCACACGCCTCCCGCGGGAGCTGACCCGCCCCTCCCGGCCCTTCTCCTGGCTCCTCAACGGTGAGTCGTCACGTGACAAGATGACCATCCACCAGGAAGCAGAGAAGTTTAACTGAAAGCAAGACAGCACTGCCTGGCCCCTAAGAAAGTGACAGGAAACCAGCCTGGGACTGACAGCGAGTGAGGTTCGGAGCTGCTGGTATGAAGTACTCCTCGCGTTTACAGAAGTGACCCAAACTGTAAATACTCGTCCCCCAACACAGCTCGGCCACCCCCCAACCCTTACCCCCTGCCTGTGCGCCGCTGTTCTCTGCTGCTTCACGGCAGCTCAGACCGCACAGACACAGAGCCAGGCTGCTCACACCGCCCCGCGGGCCGGGCTCCTCCAGGGACCGCTCGCCCGCCTGTCCCCAAGTCTGTGGCCTGAAGTTACTTCTCTTCCTGGCAGGCACGCTAAGTCCAGCAACATTTTTATCCTTAAAAATAACTCCCGCATGCACTGCCTGACATTTCTAAAGCGACCGCTTCATTTTATACTGGGATCTTAGACAGCTCATCTCTTGAGGAGACACGTCCAGTGACTAAGCCAGCGCGGAGCTTTGGCACGGAACCCCGAGAGGGGCTTTTCTGCGGAATCCTCCGCTGGCTCGGCTGAGGTCAAGCCCGAGGTCAGAGCACCGGGCAGAGTCACTGACAGCAGCTCGCGGGCCCTTACAGCAGGGACACTGCCAGGAGGCCACATGCTTCCAATCAACACGAAAACCAAACGGTCCTCAGAGACAAGGCGTTACCCCGATGACCTCCGCATCTGGACGCCTCGGTCACGGCCTGACTCCCCCAGGCCCACTTCACTACGCTAGCGCTTAGGATTTTTTCTGCAAATCATGGATTCGAAAACATAAGCAAATAAGTGTTACCAGGAAACCCCGCGTGTTCTCGCAGCTCGCAGGCCGCCCAAGTTCCTGGATATTTCTGGGTTCTCTTTAAATAGCCACGGTGAGCGCAGGCTCTGTTCGGAGCATGCTGATGGGCCGCGTGAACAGCGAGCCCCGTGCGACCCAGTCTCCGGCCACGGCAAAGCCCCGAACGTTCATCATCGAAAACACACCATCAGAACCCTGCACGCCATTCTCAAGGCGTGTTAACTAGACGCACTCGCCTCACACTCCGCTGGACGATTTCACAGCCAAGAGCAGGAAGACACGCTCAGGGGCGTGAGGCTGGGCAGGGGAGCGTGCTGAGAACGGGGGCTTCTGAGGACTGGGCCCGGGGAGAAAGGGCCCGAGGGGCACGCAGCGGCAGCTCGCCGCGCACCGCCGGCCGGCAGCAGGGCCTCCATGCTCATGTTGTTTTCCCGGCTCTCAGAAATATTTTTAAAATTTATTTATTTAAATATATTTGTATTGGTTTCAGAGAGGAAGGGAGCGGGGGGGGAGAGAGAGAAACATCCATGATGAGAGAGAATCATGGACCGGCTGCCTCCTGCGCCGCCCACTGGGGATGGAGCCCGGGCCTGTGCCCTGACTGCACATCCAAGACCGTGACCTCCTGGTTCATAAGCTGATGCTCAACCACTGAGCCACGCCGGCCGGGCTGACATCTATTTTCAATTATAGTTGACACAGGATTATGTTAGTCTCAGGGGCACGTTATTTCTATACCTGACAAAGTGGTCCCCCCGGTAAGTCTAGAGTCCACAGAGTGATCGTGTTAACCACGTTCCCACGCTGCACATGACGCTTCCATGGCCCGTCTTTATAGCTTGGAAGCTTACAGTTCCCGGTTCCCGCCCCCCCACACGCGGGACGGGGTGGGGCTTACCGGAGGCTCCTTTTTCATAATAAAAAAATGGGAAAAATGGTTTTCCCGGCATGTGTTTATCTTAAAGCTTCCTCTACAAATCCTATTAAAATGACAAGGAATTTAATAACGGAAAACCCACAAGAACAAAAGGAATAGAAAGAAGCTAATAGCTGCGAGAGCTGCCAGCCGCGTCCTGGGAACGGAAGCGATGGGTAGGAGCTCGCAAGAAACGGGAGCCGGAAAGCCCGGGGCCGGGCTCGCCCACAGATCCCACACGCTCACCCTGAACGCGGGGTCGGCTGCCACTAAGTCTGTGCGACCAACAACCAGAGCCTAAGGCGCCTCCCGGACCCCACGCTCGGGGCACTGCCCGCTCCAACCCAGGGGGGTGGGGCGGAGGAACCAGGGCCTGGCCGGGCCAGGGGAGCCAGGCTGGGCCCAGGAGGGCTCTGGGGACGGCTGCATTTCTGCCAACACTGCTGCTACATGCAACAGGACAGACACAGGGGAGAGGTGGAAGTCCATCCACCCCCAGCCCGCCACCCGCCACCCGCCATGGCTCCTCAGCCACATGCCCGGGTTCCTTTCCAGAAAGACCGTGGCACGGCAGGGCAGCTAATGCATCTCTTTGCCAGGAGAGCGAGCGACATCCAGGTCCTGCCTCCGAGGCCCGCTGCCAGAGCTCGTCTGGGCAGCCCGTGGAGCAGACCACGGAGCGGGACCACAGAGTGGCCTCCACGGAGCAAACCACAGGCGGGACCACGGAGTAAACCACGATGTTAACTGGGTTCTAAAAAGTCCACCTTTGGTTAATTCCGGTGACAGAGCCCTTCCCTTTCTTTCCCAGCACCAGCTCCACGTTATATAATTTAAGTGACATTAAAATCATGTTGCTATCAAAGAAAATGGGCGAGAAAACCAATTTCTGCTGAGGACAGAGACCTGCCCCTGTCTCCGTGGGCAGCGTGGATGTGCGTACTGTCCTAACAGCCTTCTAAGCTGTCGGCATCAAAAGACTGCACTGCAACCCGACCCCGAAGGAAAGCCCAGAACCGGCACGTCAGAGCCCTGCAGACCGGAGCCTTAAATCAGACTCTCACCCAGGTGCCGCAGAATGATTAACACGCAGCCCCGGCTGTCAGCCAGGGGCCCTGACCTGCTCCCCTAGACCAGTGGTCGGCCAACTCATTAGTCAGCAGAGCCAAATATCAACAGTACAACGATTGAAATTTCTTTTGAGAGCCAAGTTTTTTAAACTTAAATTATATAGGTAGGTACATTGTTATTAACTTAATTAGGGCACTCCTAAGGCTTAGGAAGAGCCACACTCAAGGGGCCAAGGAGCCGCATGTGGCTCGCGAGCCGCAGTTTGCTGACCATGGGCCTAGACGGTCAAATATAAACACGACAGCGGTCAGCACAGCAGCCGTCCCTGTGAACGCCCCGTCCTGAGCCATCAGCGTACAGGCGGTGTGACAGCTGCGTCCTATCAGCCACCGCGTGATGAGGTCGCGTCTGATTGGTTAACTCCTGGCAGCAGAGACCCTCATGTGCAGGTATAAGGACCTGACTTCTTCATTTTATTTTCCTGTTAATCCTCACCCAAGGATATTTTTTCCATTGATTTTTAGAGGAAGTGGCAAGGAGGGAGGGGGGAGAAAGGAGAGGGGAGGGAGAGGGAGGGAGGGGTGGGGGAGAGGGAGAGAGAGGGAGAGGGAGAGGGAGAGGGAGAAGGAGAGGGAGAGAGAGAGAAACATCTACCAGGAATCAATCCCGTGACCCTTTGGTCTGTGGACTGATGCTCCACCACTGAGCCATACCAGCCAGGCACCTGATTTTTTAAAGAAGTCACTTGGAGCGAAAAGGGTAATTACTATTATTTTTTGTAAATCAATCAAAATTACACTTTTCCCCCTGTCGGATCAGCAAAATACAGTATCCCTCTTGGTGCGCTGCGGAGCGTCAGTGACCAGCTTCCGCGTGAGGGGGCGGAGGAGGCACCTCTCGGCGCTTCCGGTGACGCTGTGCCGTCTGTGAAGGAGAGCCCGTGGCGCAGTCCCTCCCGAGGGCAGCCCAGGACGCCCCCCCCGCACCTGCACCGCCCCCCCTCCTGCCCGACACCGCGGAGGCCCACACACCTTCTGCCTCCGCCGCATCGGCGCGCTCCAACTTGGCTTCTCTGTGCTGTCCTTCGGCGACCTTCACGGCCACCGCTCGGCAGATGGCCCCCAGCTTCCTGTCCAGGGAGCGCACCCCCGCCTCCCGGGTGTACCTGCCATTGGAGAACAGGGTTAGGTCTGGCTGCAGCCCCCCCGAGGCGGACAGAGTAAGTGATCGGCAGTTACACCGCAGGCGTCCGCAGTGCACATTCTAACGCTCATTGCATTTCCTTGAGAACGGAGTCCCTCACATTTAAATTCCTTATAAAAGTCCCGTCATTTCTGAAATGGTCAGTGTACTTGCAGCCACACCTTTCCCCGTACAGATTCTCCTGACATCCTGCCCTAGACTGCAAATGAGTCGTTGGTTCTTCCATGTTACGTCGGCAGCACGTAAAACGGCATTTTCTCTTTGAGAGGATGTGTGCTTTCTTAAACAAAATCGGTCACCTTAAGAGAATTCTAGGTACATTTATTACACTTCAAATATTGCTGAAAAAAATCCCCAAAACCCAGACCTTTCACCTGCACTAAAGCAGAAACAATCAGAGCACAAGGACCTCGCGCCTGCCCGGGACGGTGCCGAGCCCGGAGGAGGCCGCTGAGGCCACGAGCACCGTGACCGTGCAAGCCACCCTCCCGGGGGCCCTCCAGGGCCTCAGCAGAGCCTCTCAGGCAACCTCCACGTTCAGCTTCCATTCCAGGAGCCGCTGCACAAACCACTGCATGGTCCAGCCACTCTGCCCCGGCTTCGGGAGGGAGCGCGTGGGCAGCATGAGGCCTGCAGTGCAGTTTTCTGGGAGAAGCTGGATTTGCGTGGCAGTCGGACTATTCCAGACGCAGGGAAGCAGGCTTTAGCCCCGAGAGAAGACCAATAGAAGCTGCTGGCTACACGCATTCCCATCGAGGACAGGAGGCTGTCCGGTCAAGCCCACGTTCTACCCTGCACAGACCTCGTAAGGAACAGGGAGGCGTCTACCATAAACAAGCCAACACGAAAACAAACCCCAAACCCAGGGTGGCTCCCGGACGGGCATCCGGGGCGGAGAGGGACTGAGGAAGCTGACCGGGAGCCGCACCGACGTCGGCAGACCCGGCCGAGGAAGCCAGGTGAGCCCACACCCCCAGGACGGCGACAAGGAAACGCTCATGTGGGTGTTTTGAACAAGAGCAGGCCCGGAGCCAGTGCGCACAGCGCCACGCGACACTGGCTGCAGGAAGCAGACGCGCCCCTATTTGCCCTTTGACCCTGTAAAGCAGTGGTTCTCAACCTTGGCTGCACATTAGAATCACCTGGGAGTCTTTTAAAAATCCTGATTTCTGGGCCCCATCCTCCGGAAATTGTTTCTTTGTTATGGGGTGGGGCCACAACTTTAGTAACAAAGAAACAGAATTTCCGGAGGATGAGGCCCAGAAATCGGGATTTTAAAAAGATTCCCAGGTGATTCTAATGTGCAGCCCAGGCTGAGAACCGCTGCTGTAGAGGAAGTGTCGCCGGGTCCTGAGAACGGCCCGTCTCCCCCTCAGTGACCTGGTCATGGAGGTGCCACCGATGCCACTGAGAGGACACAAAGCTGACGTCCTGATGGTCAGCAAGACGAGAAAGCCAGTTTGCTGCAGTGGCCGAGGGACCAGCAGTGACATCTACGCTCACTGCAAACCCACCCAATGCACACAGAACGGCATCGGTGGGACCAGCAGAGACTGATGAGAAAGACCTCGTTCTCCAGGCGACACCTGGGAAAGACAGTGGTGACTTCCCGTCAGCCACGATTCCACGATTCCGGTCCAGAGACGCCACGGCGACTCTGCTCTCCCTCAGACGTCACGCCGGCCCGTCAGCAGGCGGGTTTCCTCCGAACGCCTCCCAGGGCCGGCGGCGCTCTGACGGGGCCGCTGGGAGACTTTGGCCGACAAATCCCTCCCTTACTCTCCTGCCCCGGCTCAGAGAAGGAGCTCCCGGTCAGAGCTGGTCTCACTGCTGGATCTGAACTTAAACCGACCCCAGGAGGCCGGGGAGGCCACCACGCCGCCGACTGGCTAATTCCAGGTCAACACCCAGAACAGGGAGCCACTTCTCCCCAACCACCGCGGTTCCCAGGAGGGGTTCCGGGGGGAGGAACTGCCTGCAGACGCCACACAGCGGGCGGTGATGCAACAGTCCGCAAGGCAGACCCGGGAGAATGGAGAGGCCACTGCAGACAACATTCCCAACAGGCCGCGCTCTCCACTGGGCACGCAGCCCGGACACCAGACCACGCAGTCGCCCGAGGCAGCTCCTGTGCTGCCTGCCGAGGCCTCAGCCCTGGGAGCGAAGGTGGGAAGCCCCTCCCTTCTCTCCTGCTCCATGACAATTCCTGAAGGTGAAAACTAAGGACTAAAACCTCTCAAAAAGCAGAGGAAATGGGAATAACTCAAAACAGGAGTCTGAAAGCAGCGGCTCCACAGGAAGAGACTGAACTCTCAGATCCGGGCCGTAAGCTGCGTCTCAGTATCTGCACGAGTTGGGTTCTAACCTATCAGAGGAACCCCTTACGCTGCTCCGGGGGGAGGCGGCCATTCTGGCTCGAGGGGAGTCCTGTGCTGTGAAGATGCTCTCACTGCTGCCCCGACGGACTCCTGCCTATACCGAGCCTGTGCAAACCACGACCATGGAAATGCTCGCGGGCGACCCGCTGGCAGGAACGGATGCGGTCGGTTGCTTCGTCGGACTGCGGTGTTAAAGGAGCCGCGGACCGCGGACTCACCTGGTGATGATGCCCAGGGTGGTGGCCGGGGGGATCTGCAGCTGCTGCGGGGTCAGCCCGTGCTGGTCCAGCTGCTTGGGGATGAGGTGCCGGTGGGCGATCTCTATCTTCTCCTCCTGCGTGTACCCTGCAGGAGGGGCCCCGCTGTCAGTCATGCCCCGGGCTCCCCAGGGCCAGGCTTTTTCAGAATGGATGGGAGTGTGACCTCCACTCAGATCCTCTGATCAGAGTAAGGACGTTTATTCTCCGATCAACCACTGTTAAGGCCTCCAACTTCTCCCCAAACAATACAAGCATCTGCCAAGCACAGCGTTTGAAATCTTCTGAATAAATCTGCCTCTCAAAGAGGAAAAAATCTCTCCGTGAGAGCTCAGAGGCAATTACCTCCTCAGCTCAGAGCTGGGTTTCTATTTATTATTTAGTAGGAAACGCATCCCTTTTCTTTACTATAATTTGAATCATAACTGAAAAGACTTAAAGCACAACAAGACTGAACTGAATAAGCAGCGGTTCTAGGGGAGGAGCCGCACATAAATTCTGGCAACAAAACCGCCCCAAACCAAGCTGCCCCTCTGGTCGGAGCTGTACACGTAACTGACACATTTAAAGGATGTACGCTCTCACTTATTTAAACGCCTCAACGAGTATAGATTTACTTTGTCTTTAAACCTGTAAGAAAAATTCCCACTAAACTAACTGCCCCTTTTCCATGGAACAAGCAAACATTAAAAAGATGAACTGAGCCGAGACTGGTTTGGCTCAATGGATAGAGCGTCGGCCTGCGGACTGAAAGGTCCCGGGTTTGATTCCGGTCAAGGGCATGTACCTTGGTTGCAGGCACATCCCCAGTGGGGGTGTGCAGGAGGCAGCTGATCGATGTTTTTCTCTCATCGATGTTTCTAACTCTCTATTCCTCTCCCTTCCTCTCTGCAAAAAATCAATAAAATATTTAAAAAAAAAAAGATGAGCTGAGAAGACAGCTGTTGAGCAGGAAGAGGAAATAAGGGCCGGCAGGAGGGAGGCGCCAGCACACGGCCGCCCCCACACTCGCGGCTCACGGACCATCCACCTCAGGTGGAGTTCCAGGCAGTTAGTCACGTGACTTACTTATTTTAGTCTCAAATATGCACAAAGCGATATTTCACTCCATCCGACTTTAAAACTGTATCCTGTTTTAAGTATAGGAACGGGCAGGACTCACAGAAAACTAAGAAATCCAATGATCACCCACTTGATAGAATTATATTTCAGGTTGATATGAAATACACACTTAGCTTATATGAGAATCTAGATATATTTAGTCTTAGATATATTTAGATTCCACTCCATTTCCATTTTAACAAATGCCCACTGACATTACATGTCTCCCAGGGAGAAATGATTCTGAGCAGTTAAAATGAGGTGAAAACACTGAGATTTATTTACTGTTAGTAACTAAAGGAGTTTTTGCAAAAAAACCCCCAAAGCCTAGTGACGGCTGCAGTGACAAGGCGCGGGCAGACCAGCCCCGTGTGGCACAAAACACGGCCGGAGTGCGGCTCACGCCTCGCTGCCGCCGCTCCTGCTCAGCGGGAGCAAGTGCTCACTTTCCCCGAGAAGGAAACGTCAAGCTCTGATGGACAGGAGGCTAAGCTGACCATGTGAAGGTCTGTTCCTGACTTACTTTGAAAAAAGTTGTTTTTTTCTGTAATTTTAGAAATTGCTTCAAAGGAGAGTGTCTTTTTATTAAAAAAATGGATCATTCTTTCATGCCAAGTTCCATCTGAAATTGCTCTGCAAAATTTATCGCTGAGACGCCTTATCTGTCAGGGTGAAAGCAAACAAGTGCACGTCTGCCTTCCCGACTCTGAGTCTAAACAGGAGCAGGTTCACTCGGAGACTCGGACCTGGGAAGGTCACACGTGGGCAAACCACCTTTTTACTCGAATCCCCACAGCTCCACAAGGTCAACGGGCTGCGCTCAGAGAGGCAAGACAGAAACACCCCATCAGGCACTGCCCTGTGCCCGCGTACCTGGCACCTGGATGATCTC